TTTATTGTCGTAAAAAAATTTACAAAAATTTTATAGACAAAGCGTGTAACTTAAATACTAAACATATTATAAAAATAACTAAACAGCAGAAAAAACAAACAGAAACAAACAGACAAAATAGGAATAACAATTGCAATGGATATGCAATATCCGTCATTATAATTATTCTAATTTAATTTTTAAATTTAAATTTAAATTTAAACTTTAATATTTAATTATTTAATTAATGCCATTGTATGTGGAACTCAAATGTCTAAGGTACGTTATAAAATTATGTTACTGTGTAATATGGTCTTTCTAGAAGAAAAGCTTTAGCCAGTCTTCGGAACTTATCGTATGTATTTATAGATTTTAATTGCATCGGAAGGTTATTATACAATTTTTTGGCATTGTAGGTAATGGAATGTTTTAATAGGTCAGAAGTGGGCATTGTTAAATAAACATCAGTCTCTAAATTTCTTATAGGATATCTACGAGTCGGTCTTTCGGATAAATTTTGAATGTGCTTGCGAACTAAGCAGACGGATTCGAAAATAAATAGAGCAGGAAGGGTTAGAATTTTGAAATTTTTGAAGTAATTTTCGCAATGTGTCCTACTACTTAAACCAAATACATAGCGGATTGCCCTTTTTTGCAGTTTAAAAATAGATTCGAAAAGGTATAAGCTACAAGAACCCCAGAAAGGTAAACCATAGCGAAGGTGAGATTCGAATAAGGAAAAGTAGGTTATTAATGCAGTAGAAGGAGTCAGCTCTTTAGAAACCGATTTAATGGCAAAACATGCGGAGGATAATTTTTAAGGCCATAAATACGTTTGCCATTCCAGTTTGGAGTGGTGAAGTGGACAGAAACGAAAATAAGGGACATTGAAAAAGCCACACGTAAGCGTCTGACAAAAAATCGAATACTCCACCCTAAATCAGCACTGGAACGATTAACTCTTCTCCGCCAAGAAGGAGGACGCGCGATGATCGATATCAGTAGGATGTGTCAAAAACAGACCCAGGGATTGCAAAAATATTTCAAGAAACAGGACGCCACCCTCTACCAAGCCATAATAAAAGCGGACAACAGATACACACTATTAGACCTACCGCATGATACTAGAGAGTTAGTTTCGGATGAAACGTATTTACAAGAAATAGGACTGGACTTCCAAACCTCTATATGGTCGTCATGCCAGCCTCCTCAGCCAACCGCATGTCGACTCTAAGGCCTCGAATGGATGGTTAGAATAAGCCGACATATTTGCAGAAACAGAGGGATTCATGATAGCGATCCAGGACCAAGTTATTGCCACTAAAAACTACCTTAAGTACATAATAAGGGCTCAAGTGGAAAATGACTTATGCAAAAAATGTCATCAACAATCCGAGACCATCCAACACATAACAAGCGCTTGACCAACACTAGTACAAAGGGAATATCTCTCGAGACACAATCAGGTAGCTAAGACTGTATTTTTTGTATAGAACAAAAATTATAGATAATAATATTAGAAGTAACTTTTATTTGAAGAATTTTCTTCTCCAAACGTAAATAATGATTCCTATATTTTCCTTATATCTGCAAACAGGTAGGAAAGTAAAAATTAATAAAAATAAATAAGTAGTAATATGTAGTAATAAATATTCTTAGAAATTATTCAGAATGTTTTAGAAAAACACTTCGTAGGCAGATACCTTTGAAGGTCAATATTCCATATGAGTTTAACGTGCTGCTAAATATGGATATGTTGTATTAACAATTATCAGAATTATGCTAAATTTAATTAGTGAAATAAGAATAATTTGTAGGTAACGTTAAGCAATAAGTATCTAATTATAGCTTCAGATTTATGTATTAAACAAATTTGTAATGTATAGCTTTCCAATTATATAACTGAAATGAATGAAGATGTCAACAATGTTGATGCTATTAAGATACTTTTAAGAATCTTATCTTAAGGTACCGAAAATTCAATATAGGAGCCCAAGTCTCATTTAGAAATATTTAAACAAGATCAAAAGTTCATGCTAAGATTCACCATATATTATTTAATTAAATACAGGAAGTTACTAACTTACATATGCTCCACAAGGTTCGATCATAGGGCCAATATTATTTGTCCTGTTTATTAATGATTCAAGTGTAATATTCCGAATTGTAATTGTAATAAAGCAAATGAATGGTTTAATGGCAACATTATTTATCTTTTTCCTAAAGGGTTTGATATTCCAAAAATGCTTATTGAGATAGATAAAACATTTAGAAATGTAAATTTTTTTTACAAACATAATTTTAGTAAAAATTTACCATTAAATCTACTGGTGATAAAAAATTATTAGGTTATTCAAATGGGGTAGTTATTTTAAATGAATATATTAAATAAAATATGACCAGATATATATTTGTTTGTATTATGAAAATAATGTTTGTGTCAACAAACTTATGCTCTGTATATATAAAAATTTGTATAATGATAATATTAATAATTCAAGGTTTTAAATAAGAACTTGAAGATATCACAGTTCGAAATTCCTTTTCTTGACCATAATACTTTTTTTTGGACTGAAAACATTAGTTCCTATTTTTTAGTTAAGCTCCATAAATCAATTCATATTTTAATCTGAACGGTACTCAAACACAGTAAAGTTGCAACAACTAAACAATATAATGAACTTTTAAAATGAAATTCAATTTATATTTAGACATAAATAAGTTAACTAAATTTTTTAACCGTATGGAGATATTAAAGTTATAAATAATTACAAAGATTCATATGTGAATTTTCAATTTCTATTTCGTTTTTCCTTAAGTTTTCCACAAATAAAGTCTACTTCAGTACTGTTTAAAGACTTTGTAGTAATTTTAAAATAAAATGAACTTGCAGAAAGTTTGCCAAAAAAAAATAAATAACTTTCTAACCCTACCTATAATTACTCGGTTTGCAAACTTCAACTTTTGTTAAGATAATAAAACCAACAGATACTGAATAAAAACAAACACTGCAATAAGAGTCGAGCAGAGCAGAGCTTTGTCGTCCTTATGGAATAATCTTCTGTGACCGAATATAATAGTCGGGATTCAGAAGTTTGCAGCAGTTAAACGTGACGTTCGAAATAGATTGGCGAATTCGGATACATCTTGAATAAGAGAACACCATTGTTATGAAAATCTCTGAAGTGTTAAATTAAATTGGAAGATCCTCAACGTTACGACAATTTTATAAAATCGCATAAAACCGCGAAATTATTCTTGAATCTAGCAATAGATAAGAACTGGTTTTATTTTCAGATTTTTTCTTAGGAATTCGCGGTTGTTAAATTATTATGATTGGATTGTGGCTTGGATTGGGCTTGTATTGTAGCTAAAAAGATATTTTTACTATAATAATTGCAACATGCAGACAAATAAAAAAAAATTTATTGGTACAAATAAAATAATCGCATGTATAAAATAGAGCTGCAGACAGACTTCACTGGTTCACTAAATCAGCTTATTGAGAAGATGGCGTTTTCTCCGAATATGGAGGAGGTATAATTAGTTTGAATAAAGTCGTCACAAATCCAAAAGATAATTCTATTAAGCAAATTAATGACTAAATTAAAACTTTAATTGTTTCGGCCTTTATATAATGAAAATACATATTGTTTAAATAAGAAAAAACAAACTTGGTACATTTTTACAACTGCAATATTTGATTCAAACTAATATAGATGAACTTTTAACCACCACAACTTTATTCTTTGTTAAAATTACACAAAGATAACTATCCTATTAGACCAGTTTTATCATTTGTCATGGCACCATCAGCAAAACTTTCACATAAGAAAATAGCAAATTCCATTCAAAGTTCAGTATAAAAAGATTCTTATGAATTGACCGATTAAACATTTACTTTTATTTTTGAGGTTATGTTTATATTTTGTTTGGTTCCAGTTTCTACAAAATAGTCATGTGTTTTAAACCCAACTCCAAAACTGCGTAAATGGATACAATGTCATCGGTACTATTTTATAAAAAAAATATAAAATTATTGGAAAAAGTAAACACCCTTTTTAAATTACAACGAGCCGCTACTGATCAAATGAATATTAAAATCAAAGAAAAAATTCTGTAAAACATTTGTCTAAAACAAAATTATTTTCATTTTAAAATAAAATCTACTGAGTTTGCAGAAATATTTATTGATAATGTAGAACATAAAATTCACAGCATTAATTTAAATATGGCCTTTATTGGCATAGATATATTGACGACATATTGACTGCTTTCACTGGTACTAGTAGACAGTTTAATTCTTTATTAGTTTTTGTTAATACTATACATTCTAATATTAAATTTACTATAGAAATAGAGAAGGATAATTCAATAAATTTTTTAGACTTAAATATTAAAATAAATAAAGCCCATAGTTTTGGGATAATTCATAAGCCATTACATAGATTCATAGATTCATAGATTCATAGAGATCCTTTAGTTTATCTTGAAATAACTTTAAAACCAATATTATTTTACTGAACATATTATAGCACTTTTAAAACCTAAATAACTTTAAATTGTCTTCAAATTCTTACTTGGGAATCGATTTTGTTGTAGGAATATTGTTCCTTAAACTCTAGGACATACTGTTTACGAGATACAGCCGATCGTCATTCTTAATGAATCACCCTATATAAATTTTATTAGATATATTTTTAATTTAAGGTTATTGCAAATTTTTTATCTACTTTTATAATTTTATGTCTGATGATTACCCAGGCGCTTGCAAGCTAATGAAAACTTAAAAATTATTAAAAAATCAAATAAAATTTAGTGGTTATTATCTTTGTGTTTCTTCTTTTCTATATAAATTTATTTTTGAATTATTTTTTTTGTTTATTTAGACAAAATCATCTGGTTATTTCTTATTACATTGTTAATTTAGATTATTTAAATATAGGCAATCCGAATATTTTTCAATTGAATTTCCCATGAAAATTATATGTTTAATTTCGTAACAAGGCTTCGAAACTCACCTTTCATTTTACAAAAGGATAAATCCTTCGTTTACCATACGCAGATCTTTTACCAAGAAGTTCAAACACCAATAATCTTCAGATAAAGAATCACAAATTGAAGCTAGTCGCACTATAGTCAGCACAAACGAAACAATTAACGAAAACTATGATAAAATTAGAGAATGGTAAGAATGGTCCTTCGGAGCTTGTTTTTCTTTCAAATCTGTCAAAATCGGTCGGTAAATGACAATGTTGATCGGAACGACGTCCACGAAGTCAAATGCCGATGTACTGTAACAAAAGTTGATTCTGACGTACCGTGGAATCTGCACCGGAGTATATTTCCCCGGGCACAGTGTACCGTAAACGATAGGAAAGCAATTTTGAGGTCTTTTATACAGTATGAATGTTAAGTCTGGCTCTTCTGTAAAATTATATTTAAAAAAACACTAACTATAAAGAGACGGAAAAAAGAGGCTACCAAGAAATATATATATATTATTGCGATTGAAAAAAAAAACGTCATAGGGAATTCGCCCCTATTTTTTTTAAAGCGTTAGTTAACAGTCAAATTCGGTATTTTTTTAAAAATCGTTAAAAAGATATTTTGTTTTAATTGCTAATTTGACAGTATACTAATGTCAATAACCATAGATATATAACCAAAACAGATAGGATTATTTACAAAATTTTTGAAGAATGAACGGTGGTGTCCGCGGTAGAAACTCAATAATCGGATTGAACATTGATGCCAAGTTTACGTGCTTTTAACTATAGATATATATATAACCAATACAGATTACACAATTTCTGAAGTCAACGCGGATGATCCTCGGCAGAAATGCAATATTTGGATAAAATTAAAATATTGATGCCAAGTTTGCGATGTTTTTAACTGTAGTAATGTTATTGCGTTTGCTTGAATTACTGTTAGGTCTTTTAATTGTCAAAAAAAAAATAATGTCTGACAACAATTCATAAAAATTCCTTCGATACAGTACTAGTCCAGGAGCAAGTTAATTTTTTCGTACTTGTTTTCCCGGTCCGTGTAATCTATTAACAAAAGTAAGCCAGATTGAATTCGCGCATTACGTCACATCGATACAAGTGAGATTGTTTACAAAGTGCCTTTTCAGGCCTATTTTGCCCATTTCATGTATTTGTTTTTAAATCATGTTAAATTACTATTTTTGAAACTCAACAAGGAGAAAATCCAATTAACTCTTCCGTTGTGTATATATATATAAGATAAATTAACTGAAGTTTTATTAGTAAAGTATTAATACTAAAATTTTAATATAATTTACAGAAAATAGCTAGGTATGTATTTGTTTTTAAATAATTTGATAATTTATGAAAAAAGGGAGTAAAAGTGGAATGACCAGTGGCCAGTAGGTCAGTCAATACAAAGTATCATATATTTCTATTATAACATAACTAAAATACCTACATCTTTTAATCATAAGGACATAAGTTAAAAACCATTTTAATATATGCATTAGAATGAAGTAATAATAACTTAAAGAGACGAGGTCTTAAAGTAATAGCTGGTACACAATGTTTTTTAAACGTTTCCTCATTGCTGCTAGAATGAAATCACTTACTATGAAATGTGCTCTAAAAACGGCATTTATAGCAGTCAGTGTTCAGTCTTAGGATCTCTTCCTAAAGCCCTCATCCAAGCTGCATACATATTAAAAAATAATTTAAAAAAAAAACATATTATATACCTATATAGTTTTCGGTTCTGGGTGCCCTAAAAGAGGACAATTTGGCTCAGATAGCTAAAACCCAAAAGTCACACCCCGAACCAGGACGTATTGCTATCCTTTTAAGTAAAAAATAACTACAAATAACTTACCTGAAAAATGAAGGCGTCTAACTTTACACCAAAAAAACCATACACTTTTTCCCATTGTTGCAAGCACCCGATGACGATTAGGTAGATATCAACTAGAAGCATGTACTTAATGGTTATAAAGCTTATTTTAACACAAAAAGAATAAAGCACTAGTCGAAAAGCAGCAATCATATATAAATAGACCACAATATTAAAATTCAAATTAAAAACTGTATAAAAGACAAATACTCTAAAAGCGCAAAAGGTCAGAACCAAATAAAATGAATAACCATAATAACCTAAAAATCACACTAAAATTGCAAAAACTATTACTGTAAAATCATGAGATTACATTAATAATGCATATGCGTCGGAATATCGCAAATGTCAAAAGTACAGTGTTTCCATGAAAATTTAGCTATGTTTTTAGCAGTATTATAGGACCATTTCTACCACGTGCATCCAACGATATTGGCGTTCCACAGTTCACTGTATTTTCCTCACACCTCTAGTATAAATAATTTGACATAACGAAACTAACAATAATTATAATTAATGTAGAGTAATAAGTGATTCGTGAATTCTAAATAAAACAATTATTATATAAAAGTGCAAAAGGAAATGTAATTTATTTCCCTATTTTCTTCTGTAATATCTTTAATTATTATGTTTAATTTCTATAAATAAACCAACTGGTTAGGTGAAACATTGTGATATAAGATTTTATTTATGTGTCCTATGCGTACACTTTAATATACAAAACACCTGGAACATTCTTTAAATAATTGTGGTCGTAGAAATAATTGTGTACATAACTCGTTTGAAAGTGTATTTTATGCACTTGATAAATATATTATTCATACAGATTAATCAGACTATTTTTTTACTTAACTTCAGTACATCTCTTACTACTAAAACTATTTTTGTCAATGAAAAAAAAGGGCCGTGTTCTCGTATGTTTTGACGCATTTTCGGCCTCAGCCCATCGGATCCCCCCTCTAAATATATATGAATTTTGCTTAGAACTGCTAATCCTACAATTCTCTATTCGTGCTTGCTGACTGGGAAAATAAATACCGAAAATCGTCACTGTCCTCTGGACTATACAATAGATGATGATGAGAACTTCACAACAAATACACTTTTATGAATGGCTAGTTGGGGATGTGTCAATAACAAGCTTTGATATGGGCTATTTTGAGTTTTTAAATTGGCCAGATTTATGGAACACACTGTATATAAGTAATAATAATAATAATAATAATAATACTCTCTCTAATTTACCCCCTTAAGAGTGAATTTCAACTCCAAAAGGACACGTAAAAATTTAAAAGAAATAGAATAAGAAAGAGTACTTAATGATGATGTAAATACAGATTAATAAGAAGTTGATGGGATCATACCCAATATAAAGGAAATAAGATATATTATAGATAAACTTAAAAGTTAAAACTGATTACATGCACAAGCTAATAAAAGAATTAGGGCTGAAAAAAAAATAACGAGACTATGGAACGAAGCCATGTTTGTAAAAACTATAATAACCTTAGTAAATATAGCCCATAAAATTCTTCATATATAAAAAGCTTATTGCCTAAAATAACACATCTCTGAAAAATTATTATTTATTACCAAATATCAATAAAATTATTTCAATTTTGAAAAAATTTCATATTTTTATTAAACTTTAATTGAAATAGTAAAATTAATACAAAAGCACTGAACAATGAATAACTACAAATTAAATTACGTGTTTCAAATAATTTTATTTATTGTTACAAGCAAATTTTTAATATAACCAATCAATAAACATTAAATGTTTTCATATAACAACGTAAAACCGGTAATATTCGTATTTATTATGAAATATTATATCTCTTTTGTTACAGCTTTGATGTGCTATAAAGTTTATATCATATGAATTCATTGGAATACGATTTAAATCAGAATATAAAATTATTATTGTCTAAAAGTTAGTAATGCGTTATTGAAATTATAAATATGCAATACAATTATGCATTTTTTTAATACAACATAATTGCAGGACTGTTTTCAAAATTTTATTCGCCTGTCTTTTTATATCAGAATTCACTGCTATAATTTTAATAACATTTATAACATTCCAAGATTAATTCCTTGCAATATATATTTGTAGTATAATATATTTTTTGAATTCGTTTTTATGTTGTCGAGTAATTCTGCCTTCAAGGATTTAGAACAACTGATAATTTATTTAGAATGAAGCCATTTTGAAATATCTTCTATTTTTCATCTTGTCGTAGTCGACTTCGATAGGATGCAATAAAATATTGGCTGGAATTTTTTTTATAATGTCCTGAAACTAATTTTTAAATATAAAGTCGTCCATTTCTTCATGGTAATCTTTTTATATTAATAATCCAACTGGCAAAAATACATCGATGCTTCGGATGTGAGTTAATATTAAACGATTTCCTTTTCCTGTTGGAATTTTTAATCCACAAGAGACCCCTTCCATAAAGGCATGTTTTTTATTTTTGATGGAGGCATCTTGCCAAATTTTTATTACTGTAATTAAACTGCGATATTTTTCTTTAGAGATGTGTAGTCTATTGACTTGTTTTGAGCTAGTCTTAGATATTTTTATGTCTCGTTTAGTTATATGTGGGTTATATAGACTGTATTCCTTGGATGTTATTCTTCTTTTCTATTATTTTTGCCTTATAAATTGTTATGTATGCAAATTTTTCCAATACAAATGACATGCAAATGTCACTACTGCAATTTTCTTTTAGTCTGTATCAGTTCCTTAGGTTGTTTTTTGGATTGGGCATATAATTTTATATCGTCTATGAATACAAGTTGGTTTATCTGCTAATTTTCCCTAATATTAATCTTGAAACCCAATCCAGTTCGATTAAGTAAAGGTGGGAGAGGGTTTCATACTATCACAAACCATAACATGGGGTTAACGAATCTCCCTAAGAAATACGTTGTGAAAGACCTCTCTATTAAAATCTAATAAAATTTGAAAATAGTGAGTAATTTTTGAGTGGATTTTATATAAGTTTACAATTTCTTTTAGCCAGTTATGTATAAGTTGTTATGTTATTATTAATATCATTATTATAATTATTATTATTAATATTATTTAAAACGTGCAGAAAGGGTAGCTTCTTATAAAACTGGTACATCTTTTATCGAGCATTTCATTAATTCCCTACCAACTGATCCAAACCTCCAATATCAAAACTACTTTTCGTTTTCACCTAAATGGTGGAGTCAATGCAAGTTAGTTTGTATCCAACCTTACCTACCTGTTGATCTCTCATCGCAGGTAGACATTGTCTTTTTTTTATATATATAGATATACAATATGTCATGGTTTACCTGTTTGCTTGGTATTGTATGGTTGGGGTGAGGCCTGGGCACCTGTAATTTATTTTTATTAGAGGCATTCCTAAATTCTAGGTAGTTCAAGATGATTTCGAGTGATTACGTGTTAGAATTGTGCAATGTTTTCTATTCTGGCCAGGTAAGTTGAAGTACCATTATAATAGGAAGGGTTGTAAGCAATTTGATACAATAATAAGCTTTTTTTTAAAGTAGTTTATTCTTAGCTTCGATTTTAAAATATAACTTTTTAAATTATGTATGAACAGAAGATAATAAAATATCTTTTAGCTTTTTTTAAAGAATAATTTATTAAGTATTATTTTAAAAGACATTTTGTTAGTCTGATGAATTAAAAATACATAAAAGATTTTCTATCAACTAGGAAGATTGGAAAAAATAAATCTTTTGTATCATATTTAAATTTTCTACTAACTTATTTATAGGTAATACAATGAAAGCAAACCTAATATTGATTTGACAGAAAATTTAATTAATTTTAAGTAGTTTGGTGATTATATTACCACTGTTAAAGTTTTAAAAATCTGCACTATGTCATTAAGACATAAAATAAAGAGTAGAGTCCCTAGATGGGATTTTTGCGGCACACCTGAGAACACAATCAGGAATTAAAACAATTTTTTATTGCACCTGATCTATATGAATCTAACAGCAATTTTATCTTAAACTAAAAGGTTAAAACTAAAAAATCACCCATAAAATATCAGTGTCATCAACAAATGTAGTTGTTTTACTGTTATTAGGCATCCCAACGTCCTGTCAAACAATAGCTGCCGGTTAGATATCTAAAAGGATGTAGCCTTCCATATTAGATAATTTTTTTAATTAATATTTTCATTGTGGTTGACATAAAATATTTATATTTACATAATTTCACGTGTTGTAGATAGAATCTATAGTATGTTGCAATCCCTTAGATATACTAACCTTTTCCAACGACTGCCATTTTATTTGTAATGCCTAATATGATAGGTAAATAGTAGATACAGGACAGGACCAAGCACGCTCTCAGATGTTTTAATTTTTTTTAACTCTCCTTGTTTCACTCCATAAAATTGATCTATTATGTATGATTCCAGAAGTTGTTGGGACAATTGGTATCAATTTTATAATGTCTTCTTCATAGACTTTCTCTTTAATCCTGTGGACATGATCTGTAGTGGAATATGATGTTCTGAATCCAAATTGATGGTCTTTTACAAAAAAAATTTCTTTTCATGAGTCTCTTTAATAGCAGCTTCTCAAATATGTTTGGTGTTACTCTCCTAACAATAGAGAAATTATAAGTGTTACAATATATTCTTTTAGAAGTTTCTTTCAGTACTTTTGCCAGTAATCAAATCGTATCCAAAAGCATTTTTAGGTTGATTTTTGATTTAATTTCTCTGGTAACTTCTTTTGAAATAACAAGTTTCCTCTAGATCATTTTCTACATCTGTTTCTCCAAGTGTTCTGTAAAAAGATTTACTTTTTTAATTTTTTAACTGTCTTTAGCTTCTCCTGTTCATATGAGCAGAATTAAGTGAGTGGTCTCTTCAATTCTTTTGTTGCTTTCAAAAGCTAAGTTATTTTTAATATATTTTTGTTTATTATCTGTATTACCTTCATTTTCTTTATTATCTTTATTACCTTTATAAGCTTCATTATCTTTATTTAGGATTTTTTTTACCATTGCCTTTGTGCTTTTCAGATTTATTTTTATTGTAATATACATTTTTTTAAGGTGGAAAAAGGTTCCTGTCTTCAACGCATGATTGGCAACATTAAAACAGGTGTTATTCTTAAAGATGTTTCCATGTCGGTACATTCTGGTGAAGTTCTGGCTGTATTGGGATCAAAAGGTACAAAAATAGAATATCCTGGACCTACAACTTGTATAATTTTGGATGTAACTTTATTGATACAATTCTATATTTTAGGAAGTGGAAAAAAGGCGCTCTTAGATGTAATTTCTAGAAGAGCTCAAGGACCAATCAGAGGCCAAATCCTTCTCAACAGTCATCCACTAAGCTTATGTTTGTTTCAACAGAGATGCGCCTATGTAACTCATAAATGTGACTTCATTTCTGGATTAACTGTTCAACAGACTTTGTACTATACACCAACCAAAGTAAGAGAAATATTTTTGTTTTATTATGTTAAATTAAAGTAATTGTGGTGTCTGCCAGTAATCCTTTACGTTTGTCAGCTTTTAAAAGTTAAAAATTTAAACAGTTCATCTCTGAGATCTGATCTTTACTTTCTTAGCCATGATCCTCATTTTGTACAATCAGTATTGGTCTAAATTATGTTATTTCATTAGTAACAATTTTAAAAGAAATAATGATGGTTATATGATGCTACATACCTATTATTAATTTCTTTCTTAGTCTTTTTTTATACTTATAAGTATCTTCTGGAATATAATAGAAAATTGCAAGGAATACATACAATAATTTCCATTGATAAGCTACTTATTTATCGCTCCTTTTTCAGCTCTCAGGATATCTGAAAAAATCCAAAGTAAAGCAGGTAATGGCCGACCTAGCTTTATCTCAAGTAGCAAATAAATGCATTGAAGATTTAACTCGAAGTGAATACAGAAGACTAATGATTGGAGTCCAGTTAATCAAAGATCCTGGTAAGAAACAGTAGAAAGTTTTCGAAGCATTTAATAAAAGATCCTGTAGTAAAAGGTCCTTTAAGGTGGTTTTGGAATTTGACAGTTAATTTAATTAAACTCTAAAATTAAACCTTGATAAAAATTAATAAATAACATTCAGTTAAATAGGTCAGAAAGGGAAGAGGTAATATATAAAGTATTTGCCAATTAATAAAAGATGAAAAATTATAAATTCAGGATCTAACAATAAGTAAATATATAAATTTTATTAATAAAAGTACTTTATAACCTATAAAATTTTATTTTGCAGTGGTTTTACTGCTAGATGAACCCACATGGGACTTGGATCCATTAAACACCTACTTGATAGTTTCAATTCTATCCAATGCAGCTAAAAAATACGGCACCGCCATTGTATTGACGATGGAGAAACCTCGTTCTGACGTTTTTCCATTTCTAGAACGTGTCCTTTACCTATGCCTAGGAGATGTTGTATATACTGGAGGCACCAGACAAATGTTGGAGTATTTTAATGCTATCGGATTTCCTTGTCCTCAGCTTGAAAATCCTCTCATGTATTATCGTAAGTATCTTAAATTACTTATTTTTTAAAAACTATTTACTATATACAAAGTTTTTTAAATAGCCCCAAAGAAAAAAACTATGCAGAAAATAGAAAATTTATAGTTAGATATAGTGAAAGTATTTCTGGGATAATACTATTCATATTCGGGTGTACAGCATATGTTTTGGTTACAGATGAGGCAAAAATATACAGAAGAATAAATTTTGTTCAGGATTATTATGCTACAGAATATCTTTAACAAATTGTATTTTAACATCAGTAAAAGTAAAGATATTGAATTTTATTAATTCATTTCTATTGCATGTTCATTATAATCTTTTAATGAATCTATTTGTTACAACAAAATGCAACACTTAATTAATTTATTAATATTTTTTTGTCCAGTTTGTCTTTCTACAGTGGATAGAAGGTCTAGGGAAAGATTCGTAGAAAGTAACCATCAAATAGCTGCGCTTGTGGAGAAATTCAAAATTGAGGGTGGCATGTTCAGGAAGGGTTCCAGTATAATAGGAACCAACCACAATATGGAACATGGACTGCATGGGAATAAAGTCCCGCTCTTTATTGGAAAACCTGGTTCTTTCCCAACAGGATGGACGATTTACACGTAAATATAGAACAAAATTAATTAATGCATAATTTTCTTATCTTGTTATCCAGTATACCATTAGTAGATTATTCATAAAGGCAGATTATGTGTGGTTTCAAAACAACGTAGTTGTAAAGAAAACAATTACAGTTAATTTATAGTTTTAAAGGATCATTTTTAATATTTTTATTAATTTGAAAATTCTAAAATATCTATTCTTTTTAGGAGACTATTAGCAGCAACCTTAAGTTTCAAAAAAGCTGGTTTATCTCAGACATTTTTAAGACTGTTCTTCCTGCCTTTATATTTCTTTTTCCTTTGGTTATTCTACAGGGAAATGAAGGTAAGATACACTGTTTAAGTTTAAATAAATGTTTGTTTATTATGTTTATAATTCATTTAAATTTGATGCCTTACTTTGTTTCAGGATTGGCAACACACGTTTATTTCACGAAGTGGACTAGTCCTTAATTGTTTATCAGCTACCTATTTTATAGGCATTATAAATGCTATCATGATATGTAAGTTTTTTCTCACGTTTAAAGAATAGGTTAGAAGGGAGTAGATAATAACAATTTAGATCTCAATTGCAGAAATATTATTATAGTTAATTAAAAGTTTATTATTATAATACATGTAGTTGTTTATTGAAAACAGTAAAGAAACATCTAGAATATATGTAAAATGTTTGAAAAGCTAAACTATTATATTGATTGAAAAGGAAAAATATATATTGTATGTTGAAATTTGAATCACTTACGTGTGGCTTAATAATAGAAATTGTTTTAGATCCAAGGTATAGAACACGATACTATCAAGAAACACAGGAAGGGCTGTATGGCGGAACATTATTTTTATTATCTTACAATTTGGTGTCTCTTCCATTTTCCTTCATTTCAACATTCGCTTCTACTGCTATAATCTTCACGTAATTATTTTTTTTTATTTTTATATAAATTAATAAATTGTTTTACTTTTTCAATAAAAATTTCAGATTAATCGGCAGCTTCACCAATCCGATGGACTACATCTATTTTAGTCTTATCCTGTGGGCGTCTTATATTTTTACTGAGCAGCAAACCATGGCAATCCTCATGATAATTAAGGATTATTTAAAAGCAGCTATTTTCAGTATTTATATACCTGCCGTTTGTGTCACATTGAGCAGTGGAATCTTGAGGTAAATCAATATCTATTTTTATTTATAAATACTTATATAATGTTTTTCTATTTGCGTTTTTAAAAATAGAACAAAGAATTATAAGATAAAGAGATCTTTTTATCCTGATTAATAACAGAGTGTTTACATTTACATTTTTTAATTCATTTAGCAATATTTTATTATTAGTAGATTTTCATCTACAATATTGTCAATGTGTCATTGAATTAATAATTACTGTATTATGGTTGAGTGTATGGTAATTGGGAAGTAATAGGGCATCCAAATGGTGGCACAGTAAGCCATCTGCGCTTCAGTGCCCCCATGCGAAAACCAAGAGTAGAGAAAGCAGAGAGGGATGCCTGAAAGGGTGAAAAAAAACCTGTATTCATTTGCTGTGAGACTTCGTTTTTTATTGGTAAAATATCAGTTACATTTTTATTACAGATACTGGGATCTGTTTCTTAAATAAGATTTGAATACTTGAACATTTGGTACATAGAAAGTATAACAGTACAATTTTTCTATTAAGATGTCATGGGACCAGCTGTCAAAACTTTTTTGAATCGCAAACAAATATTTATTATTTCTTTTATTATTGCTTTAGTGGTAAACTTATTACTTCAGAATATAAATAAGATGAAAATTATCTTGCATTAAAAACTTTTTTAGTATTAACCAATTTTTGAAGTATTGACATCTACAAATCAACATCTGTATTACGTGACTCAATTTTAAAACGTTTAAAACATAGTAGGAACTACTTACTACAGGGGTGTATCAAAAACTAATGTGACTACTTTATTTTCTTTCTAAACTAGAATTTTATAAGGCGTAATTTAAAATTCAACATTTGCTAAGAAAATGTTACAAAGAAATTGATACCCTATGTATAAGTCCATAGTCTAAGTGAATTACATCAAAATTGCGAAAAGATTTTCTTATTTGTTATAATATTGTTGTTTAAGTTTGTTGGTATAATCTATTCTTCTATTGGTAAAGTTAATGTTTAGCACAAAATTTTGTATATTTTTTCTGAAATGCCATGGGAATTCTAGCATCAACTGACTTAATACACTGATGCATTTATTTTCCTTTGGTTTGGGTAAGTCTTAAGCTCCAGCGGACATTTTTCGATTCAAAATCACCATCTATTATAAATTTTTCACTAAGACAAGAAGTTGTCTTTTGAGGTTATATCTGGTATAAAGAGGACAGATACAATATTGAGTACATAATTTTTGTTTTAACAGATATGCTAACAGTTTGTGTTTCTTTTCCCCAATCATAATGAGTTTTGTTATATCTTTGATAGAATTCCTTGGATAAATAACATGATAGATCGAATATCCTTTTAATTTGACGTGGGTATGTTTGGTGAAATGCGTTTCTGGTATTAGACATCTATCTACAAACTTGTAAGAGTCAATTTATGTTCCATTCGAGATTCCCATAGTCTTATTTGTTTAATTATAAATTATTAATTATAAATGCAGTAATAATAAATTTACATTTCAGGTCAATTAAAGGTCTTCAAGACTGGCTATACTACTTAACCTATGCCACGCAAACTCGCTATGCAGCAGCTTTCCTGAATAGAAAAGTCTTCACCAATCCCACGTTAAATCAAATATTACCATTTGATTTACAACACAATTGCACTCACATGAATTTCGAAACATCACTTCTGAACGGCATCAGCAGTCCCTACTGTAGATACGCCAATGGTCTTTCATTTTTGACAGAAAGATACGGTCGGGATACCACTGATAACATCTTTAATGGCATATTAGAAGAGGACACCAATATCGGAGTCACGTTTGCTTTTACTTTAGGGATGATTGTCTTCAATCTGTTTTTGTATCTAATACCGTTGCCTTCTTTTATCAAAGCCAAGTTTAGGGAATAAACTTGTGTTTAAAATTGCTCAGCAGTGCAAGTTGTATATTATTTCCTTTAGGTGTACAGAAGAATCATAGAAATAATTCTTTTGTAGGATATTTGGAGTAAATAACTCAAAATTACGTTACTTAAAATACTTCCAGAAGTATTCTAATACTTTCAAAGATGTGGCAGATCAGGAGCAGATGGTGATGGTTCATTTAGATACGTTTAATGAAAATGTAATACCCTGATTAATATTGATAGGTGTTTACATGGGCAAGGGGGTGTGTCTGTCCCTTCTGAATTTGTAATTTTTGATTTTATCACCATTCTTTTCATTATGCCTGCGGCGTTTCGAACCTACCTATAAGACTGGTCCCTCCTGGAAATTTATTGAACGGCGCCCATGGGTGTTTAGACTAAATAATTTGACATTAATGCCATTTGCGCAGTTCAGTCTTGATTAATTTAACCAGCGTCCTGACATAGTTATATTTCAATGCTGTTTTTTTAACCTACAGTTAAGTTTTAGTTATTTGTATTTTTGTAAAATTTTATAAAGAGGAATTGATGCGTACTATTATGAATAGGGTTTACTGAAAAACAATTAAAGTGATATAATTTGTCCTTTTATAATTGAAAATATATAATTGCTGATGGTTGTTTATGAATATTTTATCACTAGTTCTGAATCTACGATACTAACAATATATAGTGTGATCACTAAAATTTAATTTAATTTTTATATATGGTATAGCACGTTTTTAGCTAAAATATCTTTAGATTCTGTAAAATCTGTTTTTTTTTTAATAATTGCAACGTTTTGTCATTCTTTCCTATTTATCATTTCTTCATTTAAACTTTTGCTAGGTAATTTTAGTATGGTTTAAAATTTTGGAGGTTATGTTAAAAACATAGAATATCTTTGATAAAGAGACCTACTTGCCAACCCTTAGAAGACACTAGTAAATTAGGATTGTTTATTATAGCATCTAAAGCAGATAGAGTAAATATGTCGAAGGGAAAGAAAATGACTATTGAGATTATGTATATGATGGAAAGAAAGTTCCTTGTCTTGTACATGTTACTTTTAAACTTCCATATTTTAGTTTGATATTGGTTGTTTTAATCTACGATGAATTTCATTTTAATTTTAAAAAATACCTAAAACATACAAGGTGTTAAAAATAAAAGGTCGTCTACAAACTCTTTAATTTATCACATTTACTTGTTAAATTAATTAATATAATTTAGATGAATATAATTGAATATTACAAGTTTTCTAATTTAATTTAAAGATTTCCAAGGAACAAAAACTAAAAAAAAAATTGTTAGAAACATTTGGTGTAGGTATTTAAATTATCAAAGGACAAGCTATATATTTATAAATAGAAGCTTTAATATCAGTAAACTATTGTAGGTTTAATTTACATTTATATTACAATTATCTATATTTTTATTAATTTTTGTAATATTTCTTAGACTTTTCTTGTAAATTATCAACATGTGGGTACTAAAGAGAATCTTTGAAATAAAAAAATACTTGATTTGTTTTGTCCCCACACATAGTTTTCATTAATTTTTTATATTATAATAATTTGTTTATTATTGGTATAATCTTATTTATTTATTCTAGTCTTCTCATAATAAATTTAATATTTATTACAATATTTGATTACATTACAATTATATTTTTAAGTTTTATTTTATGTGTATCTATATGTATCTATAAATGCTATGTATTTTTTTTTATACATGTTATGCCCAGTTTTCCGTCCAATTTTTGTATATTATTGTAAAAATATATTTTTAATCTTACGTTTTTTTATAATTCTATTCGAAAATGTGAGTGCCAATAAATACTTTTCAAAAATAAATTGGCTTTCCACAGGGATTAATTTCTGGACCAACTCCCTGCCTAATATATGTCAATGATGTAACTAAATAGTTTTATTATAATGATGACAAATCAATTAACTCAAGATGACAAACGAAAGTGAGAAGTAAATGAATGGCCAATTTTTAAAATTGCCTTCTACTTAATTGAACCGGTGGCTTAATTGACTCCGGTTCTATTTCACACTAAAGTGAAGAAGTAATTTCGTCTGACGATCTCTCCTGCTAGTCTAAGATAAACATAAAGAAAAGTGGAACACAAAAGGAAAACTTTTATTCGGAATATGAGGTACAAAATAAATTAATAGAATGCAGGAGGCTACCAACAACACATTTTCTCATTAAAGAAAATCGTTTTATGAAAAAAGTAGTCGTAAAAGAATGGGGATAGGATTTTTATAAAGAATTATGGTGGGCGCATTGTGTATAAACCGAAATAATTTTCAAAATCAACATATGAAACAGACAGAAATTGTTTTCTTCTGGTGCAGGTGGAAAACAGAGAAATTATTTGCATATCTTGTATACTGTAATAAAAATATTTTTATATATATATATATATATATATATATATATATATATATATATATATATATATATATATATATATATATATATATATATATATATATATATATATATATATATATATATATATATATATAATATTTCTACTGATTTAATATTAAAATACTGTATACTATTACTAAAAGGGAGTACTTACTTATTGCTCTACCCTGGTGGTTTCTACTTTCAGTTCAAAGAGGCTACTGGAATTCTACCATTTATTTAATTAGTCCTACCAGGTGGTTCAATCACGCATGAACTTTTGAGCTATTGTAGGCAATATTTTATCTCTAGATTCTGACTGTTTCGAAAAACGTTTGTCCATATAGCTTTAGTTTATACCGGTTATCCCATTTTTCTTATAATTACTTCTTAAAACCTCTATTTATTAAGATACTGAAATAAGTTAATAAAAAAGTAAGACCAGTTAAAGAAAAGTAAATATAAACAGATTGAACAGGAATTTTGCTGGTAAACATGGCCTTCTAAGTTATTGTGTGCAATATTTAATCTCTAGATTCTGACTGTTTTGAAATACGTTTGTCCACATAGCTTTAATCTATACCAGTCGTCCCATTTTTTGATTTTACTTTTTAAAATCTCTGATTATTACAATAATAAAAAATTTAGACCTATAGTCAAGTTGAAGTAAACTAAATATGAACAGATCGAACAGGATTGTGCCGGTAAACAGGGTCACATTAAGGGTTTTGTGAAAAAAAGTACCTAATAAATTTTGTTACAAAATACAGTCTGCTATAACAGTGACGTGGTCTTCACATAACTGGTGTTCAAAAATAGTTGCACATTAAAAAACAAGGATATCAAATGTTGACGAAGCAAAAGTCAGTTTGCGATCATAAAATGGCAACTCCCTCATTTATGATGGTAAAGATGACTCAAATAGAGAATGCGACATGTCCATCATCAATATTGCACTCTCACCTGTCGTTTCGAAAATTAGGAATTTGATGAACAACTGTTTTGATGAACAAGGGTTTTCCTTTATTACTTAAGGAAAATACTCTTATGAATGGCGCCCACACGGTCAGTTACTAGGGCGTTTCAAAGAGCTTCAGATGGAGATAAAATATTCCAGTCTATAATCAGGATAAATATCTAATGCCGGGTAAGCATATACAGTCAAAATAAACGTCTAGAATCGGGATTGTTTGACAATAATTAGCATTTTTTGTTTGCTATTTTAATTATTATAAAAATTTTGTAGTATTAAAGTATTTATTACTTGGAGTTTCTTTGACAACATGTTAAATAATGTTGTCCCTAAGTATAAGGAACTATGTTGTCCAATAATTGTATAACATTTTATTTCTCTAAATGTTTCTTTATTTCTAACACTATGAATTTGTACTTTTTTCATTAGGTCATTTGTATTTTTATAAGTATGTAGCAATTCTTTTTGTACGTATAACTGTCTAATGTCAAAAACTTTTATTTTTGTGGAATACGTCCTCTCTATACCACATTTTTTTTTGTTTTGTTTTAGTTGAATTTTGTGCAAGATAGTATTGAAGTTTAAAAAAAAATATTCTGTCATTAGGTCTATATTCTTTTCATTAGAGTAGATCTGTTTTTAATTTTTTATAATTTAAATGTTTATAATGAATGGTAGGTTTTCTGATACATTATAAAGTTTTTGGATGATAGTGCTATGGGAAAATGATCTGTTAAATCAGTTTTGATTATATATGACGTTAATTTTAAATTATTTCTAGTCTTGACGAACATGTTCCACTGATTGGATGCGTTACTTCGTTGATATATGATGTATACCCATGTGCATTTAGATAAAATATTTATATTAATATCTCCGGTGTATCAAATGACTATTTATTTACAAAAATGTAATTTTTTCTATAACAATTAGTTTATCTAACAATTTTCGTATTTCCATCGTTGAAGAAATGATACGTCGTATGCTTTCCATGCAATTCTAGCTACGTCAATGCATAATGAAGTATTTTTCGTAGAAAAGAAACCAAATTTACTAAAATAAATGCTTGATGTCTGTCTGCTGTCTTTTAAATTTGGGGAAAAATCGACAACATAAAAACGATATACCGAAAAAGCTCCATTAATGTTCCTGACGACGAAGGTCTTTGGCCGTGGCCTTTTACGAGATACGGAACAAGTTCAGACATCGATGTCTGACATTGAATGAGTATGAAGTTAGCGAAATATTCCAGTTAAAAATTTCCCTGCTGAAATATAAAGCAGTAAAATATGTTTACTGAATGTCGACATTAATATCGTTAGAAGTTTTCGGTTGCTGCATAGCTTGAAAAACAGAAAATTAAATTTTGAGTCCAAAAAGTACGTTCATCATCGATATACAGTGACCATGTACGGATTTTATGGTAATGAAAGTTTATTTAATCAGTTAGCCCCAAATGTAGAGACTGTTATTTTTTAGGCCTCAGCTGACATGGCTATTTGGCAATCTATGTAGGCTCCGTTATAATTTTCCAATGCTACTTTAGGAATTTAAAGTTGTTAATTAGCTTCCCAATTATAATGAATTTATAATAATTTTATGTATTAAACTGGAATATTAGATTGTAAATACATTATATATTCTAAAAATAATTGATTTTCGTATAAACGCTCTTTAAACTTATACTTGATACAACTTTGTCAATATTGTGTAAAGAAAGGGTCGACCAAATTTTCATATTACAGTCTTTCGACAATCCCCTAGATAAGTCCGATTTAAGTTCGCGCGAACCCATAACACTTTTCCAATAAACTCCAGATTGATATTCCGAGCATGATAAACAGTTTGCAGAGATTTTCATCCTTCCTAAGATTACAAATATTTGAATGAAAGTCACATACTGTCGTCGCTATGAAAGTCTAGCTAGCTAGCATCAGCCGGAATTGCAATCGAGATCAGTATCCAGTAAAACTGGTCATTAAGTTTTTATTTTAAATAAATTTTATTCGTATTATTATACGCTTCATTTTTAAATCAAGGATATTTTATACGTTGGCAGCCAATCTTATATAGGTCTTTAGTAACGCCCTCTATATAAAGAACGTAATAATTCAATTTCTCAGGTTTTTTAAAATGTGACACATCTAACCCACATATATAATCTATGCAAAGTAATGTATGTATTATAAAAGTCAACGAAAACGTTTGAACAAAAAACGAGAAATGTTTCGCTTCGATTGCTTTTTCAATTGTAAGTTTGGAAACTAGCGCAGCAGCTGTCACTTTTGTCAATTCGCAAAAAGATCTTTTTTGAACGTGAACGGATCTTTCGATAGTTGTTGTAATAGTAGATGGCCCGTCACTCAGTAGTTTCACGTTAACTTTTCTAAAATGGATGTATTTGAAAAATAAGTTGAGGATGATCTTTTAAGATTTGTAACAGTAAGCAAAGTCAGGAAAACGTCAT